AGAATCCATTATCTAAACATCTTCCTGGTGTTTCCAGAGCCCAGGCTCTGCTCTGCTTATGCTGGCAGAGCCCGGAGAGTGTACAATGCCCACAGGCCCACATTCCCACTGCTCAGAGGCATTCTGTACTGATTGCAACGTGTTCCTTCCCAAGAAGAAGGTTACAGCCAGGAAGAAAAGTAAAAAGGGCTATGGATATAATCATAATGAGTAAATTAATCCACACACTGATTTCTAGTACAGGAAAATAAAAATGGTGTTTTCACTCCCACCCCAGATCCCTCCCCCACATGGTACTGCAAATACAGTAGCTAATGTAGTCATGAGACCAGATGTTAATGCCAGACTGAAATTTATTGTACTGATAAGGCTAATAAAAGTGAGGTTAAGTAACCTACCCAAAGTAACACAAATAAAAACAGTAGAACCGGAATAAGAACCCATTTTCTCATTACAACGAGTAACGAGCCGCTGGAGCTGTGACACAGTTGATTAAGCCTCCTCTTGCAGCACCAGCAATGCCGTATGGGCACTAGTTTGTGTCCAGATGTTCCACTTCTTACTGCGCTTCCTGCTTATGGCCTGAGAAAGCAGCAGAAGATAGCCCAAGTCCTTGGGCTTCTGGACCCAGGGGGAAACCTAGGAGAAATTCCTGGTTTCTGGCTTCAGATTTACCCAGCACCAGCCTTGGTAGCGCCTTGGGGAGTGATTCAGCAGATGGAAGATCTCTAACTGCCTTTTGAATTAAGATTAAAAATAATAATTCAAAAAGTGTAACCATTACACATACTGATTACTTTTTTTTAAATAGTTGGGGATGGGCCTGTGTTTTTTTTTTTTTTCTTCTAGATTTATTTTTATTGCAAAGACAGATTTACGGAGAAAAGGAGAGACAGAAAGTTTAGAGATCACATTTTCCTCATCTCTGTTTATTTTCCTTAATCAGACATGAATGCCTATGTTTCTGGTCTCGTCTAATAGTTTTGCTGATCATCTATGTCACATAACAATGCAGCGAAAGAAATTGTGTCACTTCGTTGGTAACCTTCAACGTGCCTGAGAGGTTATAGTCAACAGCCAGCGCTGGTATTTAAGAGCAACGCTGAGTGCTTCTGGAGCGCTCACAGTGTGCTGAGCAGCACTTACAGTGTGCCGAGGACTGTGCTGAACATGGTTTGTGCCATTGAATCCTCACAATGAATTCCTCCAAATCACTTTGTTCTCTCCATCTGGTTTAGTTTTTGCTTCTAGTCCACTAATTGTTAGTTGCACAACTTCCCCTCTAACCTGTGTAAACTCCATTTTGATCTCATTCTAACTTGAATCACTAATCCTGTTTGAAATTCACATTCTCTATTATTCATATGCAATTGCAGAATACTGTCTATCCACTTTCTCTTCCAGAAGGAAGCGATATGTGAATTCCCAGTCTGGGTGCTTTGGCCCCACTTGTTGACTCTCGGCAAATTACGTCAGCCAGGAAGTTAAGAGCTTGCCTTAGCTTTAGCGCCCTTGACTGCCTTTTCCTTACACACACACACACACACACACACACACACACACACACACACACACTATGTATTCAGTTTGGTTTTATGGGAGCATCCAAATATCTGGGTCTCTCATCCTTCGTAAGAGTCAGAGTCTTATTTGCTTTTAAAATTTTTGGTAAACACTACTGACTTAGAAGAGCATAAAATCTACCTAAGTCAACATTTGCTTGTTTTCCCAACGTAAAAAAATTTCCTTGCTTTGTTTGCTTCACAAACATGGCATACATATTATAGACATTGCAACCTATTTTAAAGTTTCCTGGAGCAAACTTTTTAAAAAAATAAGAAATACAATTGCAGGACTGGCTTTCTTTGCAGTGTGTATGGCAGTCTGAGTCCAGGTTTCCAGAAGAAACCTGTCAGTATTTTTATGATGAGGGCACAGCTTGAAGCCATTAACGCCAGTAAGATCTGTATTTACCATCAAATCTTTATAAAAGTGTCACCGTTAATGAAATTGGGTAACTCAAAACAGCTAAGACTGCTCACTTGCGCAATAGCAATGTTAATAAAATGAGGTTATTTCACAAAACCCTTTTCCCTTACATAAATCTCCACCCTTCCTGGTTGCACAAATATATTTGTTTAAAGATTTTTTATTTGAAAGACAGAGTTATAGAAAGAGAGAGAGAGAGAGAGAGATCTTCAATCTGCTGGTTCATTCCCCAAATGGCTGTAACAGCTAGAGCTGGCTGAACTGATCTGAAACCAAGAAGAACTTTTTTGGGTGTGCCCCATGGGCACAGGGGCCAAGGACTTGGGTCGTTCTCTGCTACTTTCCCAGGCCATAAGCTGGAAACTGAATCAGAAGTGAAAGAGCTAGTACTTGAATCTACACACATATGTAAATCCAGTGCCACAGGCAGAGGCATAGCCAGCTACTCCATGGCACCAGCCTCTGCATAAATATTTTAAATATCTCACAATTACTAAAATATCTTCTCTGCAACAAAACAGAAATAAAAGAATTAATGTATAAATATTTCCAGTATTTTCAATAGATGAAAAGATTTATTGATTTACTCATCTTGTCTTTATGCTAAACACTAACTGTAATGTTAATAAAAATAAAAACCTAATGTTGAGTTCATGTGTCTAAATGGTTTTCAGACTTCAACAGAATTTTTAAACTGAAGACAGGGTTATTTATTATAACTCCATTGCTGGAACTCTTACTTCTGACAGAGATCCAATAAGAAGGCCTAGATTTCCCTTCTTATCTAAAATAACCCAAAGCAGTAATTTTTCGAGATCCTGAATACCAAGCCACAGAGGACAATGATGCCTGGATGTAAACGAGTCAAATGGAGGGAGCCCTGAGCCTTGAGACAGCGCCCACTTTATTGCCCTGCCAAGTGTTTCCAGGCTGTAGCAGAGAGAAAGGAAAGAAAAGTGCATCCTGGTAGTTAATGAGCTAAGAGTCTGGGAGAACTAAACTTGAGAATTCCAGAGAGGAGACAGCAACACAGAAAGAGAAGCTGCTGTGCCCAGACACAGAAGGTTCCTCTACCTAACCAAGTACACATCAGAGGATGCAAGCAAACTGCCCAAAACCAAGGAAGAGAACATCAGAACAATTTGAGTGCACAGCGTTCAAGTTGGTGGGGTAAACAATGGTTATTCCCATCGTCAGACTGCAAAAAAAAAAAAAAAAAAAAAAATCCCAGTGTCATGGGACAGTAGCTAGACTATGCACGGAGGTCTTGCCTCGGTACCAAAGAACATTAGTTGCAGTAAACAATTGCTCCAGACCTACCCAATAAATTTATAGGAGACATGAAAGACTCAAATCTTCTCAGTAACCTAACTTCTAGAACAAAGATCAAGAAGACTCATAACACTATACTATGAGTATTCTATACCCAACAAGGCTTAAATTCTTGCATCAGAAGCAGTAGTACATAACCATAATAAAAATAATTAGTAATTGAAACCAGTTCAAAATTGACAGATATTATTTTTTTAGTTCTATATTTTGCAAAATCTTTAGAATTTAAATAATTAATTAAAATCAATCAATTAGTAACATTTTCAATTTAAATACTTTTCACCCTGAATATGTATGGCAGCTTAACTTACCTATATGTGATGTTTAAGAAGGCAGAACTTTTCTAGGTCTGTTAAAAGTTGTGTTGCAGCCAGGAACAAGAAGAAATAGCAAATTTGGAAGCAATGAATTCACCCAATCTTTTCTAAACCTCGATCCTTCCCATCTGATCAACCAGGTATTCATTATTAAAAATTAATTAATTTTTAAAAAGTTGTGTTGCAGGCTCAGCGTGGTAGCCTAGTGGCTAAGGTCCTTGCCTTGCACGTGCCAGGATTCCATATGGGCAGTGGTTCTAATTCCAGCAGCCTCGCTTCCCACCCAGCTTTCTTCTTGTGGCCTGGAAAAGCAGTGGAAGACAGCACTTCCCACCATCATCAACTGTTTAAACATCATCAACAAGAAAATTTTGAAAAATAAACAGCAAGACAAAAGACTCCAAACTTTCTGGATAAATAATCACATTAATTGAAATGGCGTAAATATATTTATAAACAAACACCACAAAAAATGTGGTGGATATCTGGTCTAGTGGTTCAAATATTTCAACTCATATTGGAGTACCTGGGTTTGAGATCCAGTTTTTTAAAAGCTTTATTTTTTTGGTGGTTTTAAAAAAAGATTTATTTATTTTTATTGGAAAGTCAGATAGATTTGCAACAAGAAGGAGACCGAGATAAAGATCTTCCATCCACTGGTTCACTACCCAAGTGTCTGCAACAGCCAGAGCTGAGCCAATCTGAAACCAGGAGCCAGGAGCAAGGAGCTTCTTCCAGGTCTCTCATACAGATGCAGGGTCCCAAGGCTTCAGGCCATCCTCTGCTGCCTTCTCAGGACACAGACAGGGAGCTGGATGAGAAGTGGAGCAGCCAGGATTAGAACCGGAGCCCATATCGGATCCTGGTGCATGCAAGGTGAGGGCTTTATCTGCTAGCTACCATGCTGGGCCTGTAATTTATTTTTTAAAAGATTTACTTATTTTATTTGAGAGTCAGAGTTACATAGAGAGAAGAGACAGATATTCCATCCTCTGGTTTACTTCCCAAATGGCTGCCATAGCCAGAGCTGAGCTAATCCGAAGCTAGGAGCCAGGAGCTTCTTCTGGGTCCTCACATGGGTGCAGGAAGCCAAGGACTTAACTATCCTCCACTGTTTCCCCATGCCATTAGCTGGTAGCTAGCTCAGAAATGGAATGGCCAGGACTCTAACCGGCACCCAGGTGGGATGCTGGTGTCACAGGCAGGAGCTTAACTTGCTATGTTACCATGCCAGCCCCAATGTTGTAATATAAAAAAAAAAAAACAAATTAACTAAACAATTTACAAATGTGTAAGTTACATTAACTATGTATATTTTCCAAGCATTTCAACTCCCCTCAGAAACAACACAAGATATTCAAGTGCTTTAAAATCCAAGGCCTTTAATTCAGTTTTCAGCAATGACCACCTATGCCTCCACAACTCCTCTTCTTTAGCATAAAGAGAAGGCACTAGGCATTACAAAACACCCTTACAGCAGTGATTCCTTCTGATGCTGGTGGAGAGAAAACATTACATGGCAGGTTTCAGATATTAACAAAGTCTTCTGAAAAAAAAAATACAACTATGAAAATCATATAAAAAAAAATTAAGTTGCCAGGCAGTCTTCTCAGGTTTCCAATGCAACTTGAAGTTACTCTTACAGGTACATAATTTGAAATGAAGAGAGAAACTGGCAAAGTATGATACGGTTGTCAACACATGTTAGGTTTCAATTAAACACAAGTAAACGTGAAGATACCACTGTAATGCTAACTGGCATCTTTCGTTACAGTATAGATGTGCAAAATAAACTGGAAATGATACAGCCTGTAGTGGCATAATTAAAAAGATCCTTGATATGACACTAATAACCTTTAAATTCTGGTCACAAACAGTGTATATAAAATGTAAGATTATTAAAATACACATTCTTGAAAAATAATAAGATGACCATTTATACCTAAATAAAGTTTCCCAGAAAGTTATGAAATACGTTAGCATATAAAAGCAGTTGACCCTTTTCTGAAAGGTCTACTGTTCATATGATCCAAGGCAAATGACTTCCTTCAAACGCCATATTCTCTCTTTGAGGTATGCTTCAAGAGCTGTATCCATGCGGGAAAGGGCACATTTAGGTATCAGACCACAGTTAGCAACAGGAGGAGCCTTTCTTGAGTCAGGAATGCCCTTGAGGGTTATACTGACAGAAAACAAGAGATAGCTCCAGGAGCCATTTTTCAAATATAAATACATACAACTGAATTTGGAGAATAACCCAAGATACAGCTATTTACATTTGTGTTATGTGTGCCTATTTCAAATAGTGGCTTCTGTGGGATACTGTGTCCAAACACAAACCAGGCAACCTTACCCTTCCAAGTCACATTCTTCTATTTTTGGCAAGGCAGTACAAACAAAACAGAAGAAATAAAATAAACAACAACAGCAACAGTAACAACAAAACTACCTATAACAATGATTCAGGGAAAAGTTTTCATGTGAAACAACAGTAGGAAACATGTTCTGAGAAACAGGAAGGGAAAAAAAAAATTACCAAACGAATAATGCTGGAAATCAATCATACAGTCACTCAACTATTACATAAAAGGCTTACAAATGTTCTTGAATTCAGGAGCATTCAGTTTTAAAAAAAAAACAGCTGATTATAAGGTTAAAATTAGAATGGTTTTCAATTAAACAGGTTAGACTGACAATGATAAGAGAAAATACACTCTTCCATAATTAATATTGGACAACTTCTTGCCTTTGGAGAAACTGGTAAGATGGGATTTTAAAAACATCAAAGACAACAGTGAAATGAAAACCTGTATGACAACTGGTGAAAAAACAAAAAAATAAAAATAAACAAAGAACCCTACCATGGCTATGAACAAACACGATGAGCAGCAAGAAACATTTATAAGCAATGATTACTCAGTAGAATGTCTTATAAAATAATATATCATAATCAAGCTAAGAAAAAGCTTCGAGACTAGCAGCTGGGCTCCGTTAAACACATAGGACAACAGAAGGCACTACACAAGCATCAATTACTCCTAACTAGAGTTGGACAGTTCAGATGGTTTTCCTGTTAAGAAGATAGCCAGTGTGAGTGTTATTTTTATATCCCCCTGAGTTTTAACATGATTGGGCAAAACAGCACCAATTTTTAAAAAAATACCTGCAATGCCAGCACTGCAGTTTGGAATCACTTATACTAATGGCCCCACAGGTCTCTCCTAAGAGCACTTTATAACATGATTAAAAATATAGAAATGCCTTTTGGTGTTTCAGTATTAAAGTGGAACCCCCACAGTCATCCATTTTTAAAAATAATGCATTAAAAAGGTCTGTTTATACAATACAGTCTTTCCACCCTGTAGCTAGCATTCACAGCCACTTTGCACTCCACTGCTGCCGAGCGAGCGAGTTCCTTTGTGCATCTGTTGAAATGTCAGTATGCTTCACGGTACACAATCCTTTTTGGCTGGAAAATTCTGGTGTCATGTCATGCCTGTTTTGAGCAATATGCTTTGCAGGTCCTCTGGTAATGCTAAGATAATTGCATCTATGTGTGTCCGTAACTTTTCCATGGTGTCGGGTTTCACAGGTAAATGCTCCCGATCAGCCTGCAACTACATAAAGAAACATTGGGAGCATTTAAATAGATGTCAATCACCAGATCCTTTAAATGAGCTATTTTAATGGTCTACAGTTTGAAGAAAACCTTGTCTTACAGCAGAATTTATAGAAACTAAAGAAGTAAAGAACATGTCATTTAAATGATCCATTACCGAGCTCAGTAAAAAGCTGCTATGTAAATTCACAGGCAGTACCGAGGAATGTGTACTACATGGTACTACACGTGACAGTGCTTTTGAGGAGTTCACGACAGTCTACGTCAACAGCTTTATAACAATACAGCATCATCACGGTTGCAAGCGACCCAGTGGTCCAATCAGATCTATCATCAACTGACCAACCTCCAGTCCTCTCATTCACAAAGTGACTTCTGCCTTACAGCATGGATTGACAGCTCAAACTAGGGGAAACGTCTCCACAGAAGATTCAGTTTAATCTTTAGTTGCTTTTGCTACGTACCAGCTTATTTTTCAGCTTCAAAACAAGGTCTACTATTTCTACTTCTGTGTGTTTCTGGATCCAAAGAAGTAAATCCTAAGAACAATAAACAAATCTCAAATCAGTTAACTGTTTAAAATAAGATTCCAACCTATTTCAGTAGTAAAGAGTGCGAGAATAATTTTCATCATACCCAGCCATTGTTAGAGAATTTCTTAAAAGATTTATTTATTTGTTTAAAGGTAGACTAACAAAAAACAGGAGAAAAAGAGACGAGGGGGGGCGGGGAGGGAAAGACTGAGGAGATACTGATCCTCCATCTTCTGTTGCATTCTCCAAACCTGTAAAACAGCTGGACGTGGACCAGGCCCAAGCCAGGAGCTTGGAGTGGCAGAGACCCAGCTGAGCCATTGTCAACTGCCCTCCCAGGTGCATTGGCAGGAAGCTGGGTCAGAAGCACACAGTGCCAGGATCTTGAACAGGCACCCTGATGTGGGATGCAGCCTAACCAGCGGGCTCATAATGCCTACTCATAACAGTCACTAACAAATCCAGATGAGTGAGTGTGAGTATACTACGGGATATAAACGTTCATCCTTAAATAAGCTCTTCCTGAGCATATTAAATACTAATGAAAATAAGACTATCCTTTATATTTTCACAAGTATTAACTTAAAGTAGTCTAGTGAGAAATTACAGAATATGAAACATCAGTCCAAACATGTTTTTAAAAATTTGATAATACTGGGCCCAGTGCCGTGGCCTAGGGCTAAAGTCCTCGCCTTGAAGGTGCCAGCATTCCATATGGATGCCGGTTCTAATCCCAGCAGCTCCACTTCCCATCCAGCTCCCTGCTTGAGGCCTGGGAAAGCAGTCAAGGATGGCTCAAACCTTGGGACCTGCACCCGTATGGGATACCCGGAAGAAGTTCCTGGCTCCTGGCTTCAGATCGGCATAGCACCGGCCATAGTGGTCACTTTGGGGAGTGAATCATCGGATGGAAGATCCTCCTCTCTGTCTCTCCTCCTCTCTGTATACCTGAATTTGCAAAAAAAAAAAAAAAATTTTTTTGATAACACCAGTGGAAAATGTAAGTTATTCTGTAAAAGATGCAGAGTTGCACCTGATAGAATGTGAACCTTGACTCCACCCAGTAGTGTGATGGCCTCTGGTTCTCTAGAGAAAGTCCCTGGTTTGCAGCATTTGCCAATTTCTACGATGTTCACTCCCACTCTAGGCACTCTGAAACTAACCACCAACCAAAGCTCACACAACGCAGCGCTGGGAGGAGGTGTACCCATGCAAGCAGCTCTTCTGAAGCAATGCAGGTGAGTCCCAGCTCACTGCTGGCTCCACTGACGCAAACAAAATTAAGTCACATCCCTGCAACTGACCCTTCGGGCAGTTCAGAACACACTTCCCTCAATGTACTGTTCTGAGGATGACAAGAGCTTATCCACTAAACACACGTACAGGGTCTCGGGGATGTAGCCCACGACCTAGGCAATCTGGCTATCATCACAACTTCATACAGTGGACACGGGCTCAATTTTCCACCTCTAAGGGTAACTGTGTCTTAACTGTCAATAGTTGGTCATTATCACATAAACATGCTGTTTTCTAACCTCTTCACAAAGGGCTTCCAGATGAAGTGCCTCTAATTTTTGGGTCATTTCCTTCCGCCGGGTCTTGAACCAGCCATCGAAATTTGGAGACTTTAGAAAATGCCTGTAAGAATAAATGTAAAGAAAACAAAGTTTGACTACGACTTCCTTCCTGTTCTCAATACTTTCACTTATAGCTCAGAGGACCAGGTTAAACATTGGAAACTTTAAAACAAACAAGTTGAAGTCCAGATTTTTAATTCTTTTGTCTTTTTTGTTTTTATTTTTAAAGTTTTTTGTTTGTTTTTGTTTTTGGAGAGAGAGGGGAAGAGTGCTAGACCTCCCATCCCCACTGGCTCACTTCTCAAATGCCTGAAGCAGCCAGGAGGGGCCAGAACCAGAAGCCTGGAACACAATCCAGGTCTGCTCCATGTGGCTGGCTCCATGTGGCTGACACTTTGAGCTACCACCCCTATGCTCTGGAGAGAAGCTGGGCTTCAAACCCAGTTACTCTGGCGTGGGACACAGGTTATCTTAACTGCTAGGATCAATACCCATCAGTATTGTTCTGTTTTCAAAGGAAACAGTACAACTGGGTAAAAAAGAGATACAGAGAGGTAAATAAGAAAAGACTAACCGATAAAGTCCAATCCAATCTCCTTTTATTCTAGATGTTAGCTGAGGTCCAGTTTTCTCAAGTGTTTTCATGAATTCCTCTGGAAGAAACTGTCTTAATTGGGGTGGACTCTAGAAAACAGGACATGCTATATTTAGAAACCAGAAATGGATACATTTGTGGAAGTTAATTTGAGAACACAAAAAGGAATTCAATATACCCATACCTTCCATGGAGAAATACTTTTCTGCAAAGGCATCAAACTTGCCACATATCGTTCCTGAAACAAAATAAAACAGAATGAGATGGTCTTACCCTGGCAGTCTTCAAAAATGTTTAGACAGCTCAACCTTTTTTTTAAGGTTCCCAAGTGTGAGATTTCATACATATGGCGAGAAAGAGAGGTAGAGGGACAGGCTTTTATCCATGGTGTATGGCACAAATTCCTTCTCCACTGGCAGCTTTTAGAAAACAAAGTTTTCTTCCCCAAAGTGGGTCACAGAAAGTCTAATCTTCCCTTGCTTTTCTGTCCTAGAGCTGCTGATCATAAATTCTCTGAGCTCCTTTGATAATAGACAATAAAACTCTTTTCAGAAGGGATCCAGCCTCACACCAGCAAGGAAGGAATGCTGAAGAATCTGAACAGACAGGCTTGGCTGGGTTTCCACAGTCTATTAGCATGGATCATTCCCCTTCTGTCCAATCACATTTCTACACAGTTGTTAAGCTTCTATCACGCTGATGCAACAAAGTCTCCATTAAAAAAAAAGTGGGGGTGGAGGGTTTGGAGAGCTTTGGGATAGCTGAACCTGTACAACTCACTGCAGGGCTCTGCAGCCTTCCGTTCACATCTCACTCCATGCAGCTCTTCACCCGTATCTTCTATAATAACTTTATGACAAACCAATAGCCTTCGAGTATTTCCTGGAATTCTTTGGGCAACTTAAGCTAACGAATCAAACCTGAGTTTGAGGGTTTGTGGGAACCCTCACTTACAGGTGATCAGTCAGAAGCACAAGTGAAAAAATCCAGAGCTGCAATTGGCATCTGAAGTAGAGGAAGCCAGTCCTGCGGACTGAGCCCGCAACCTGTGGGATTTAACTCCAGGTAGATAGTGACAGAATCAAATCAGAGGACACCTAGCTGGTACCAACTGCACAAGTGACTAGCTGACAGGGAGAAAACTCACACTGCCTGGGAACACAGAATCATCTGTGCTGTGAGTATATAATGGAAGAAATTGGGTCTGAACTTGTTTATTCAGCATATGCACTTTCCGCGGATAACAACTCCAGTACTTCCTATGACAGACACTGACACATTTAGATAGAGCTGGAAAGTGGGAGATGGGGGGGGCGGGGTGGAGGATGGAAAGAAAAAGAAAAAGAGAGAGAGAGAGAAAGAGGAAGAGAGAGAGAGAGAGAGAAATTTTCTAGGCACCGTTTCATTCCCCAAAAGGACAAAATGGCTGGGTCTGGGCCAGGTACAAACTAAGAGTCAGACTCATCTGGATCCCCCACGTGGGTGCAGGGATCCAAGTACTTAGGATGTCTTCCATTGCTTTCCTACATAGTTTAGCAGGGGGCTGACTGCAAGCAGAGTGGCTGGAATTTGAAGTGCTTACCCAAACAGGATGCCAGCACTGCTGGTTAGGCATCTTAACCAGCAGAACCACAGTGCCAGCCAGAGACTACATATGTTAATGACAATAATTAACCTCGTCAAATAACCAGGTGCTGAAAACTGTCCTTCACATTTTATTACATGATTTAAGTATTATTGGGAAACTGAGGCTTCAAAAGGCTAAGTAACCTGACCAGCTTGAACTCAAATTTATGTCTACTTGAATTTAATCCATGCTTTTAGTCTCTACAGCAAAGTATATTTACTTAAACAAGCAGACTGAAATTCAACGGAATAGACTGACATCCACAGACAAAGAAAGAACATTTTCTCCCAAAATCTAACAGCAAAAATCTTACAAGTTGCCCTGTATAATATTCAGAGATAGGTCATGCTAGAAATCACACAAAACCTACCATGAAATCTCCAGGTGAGCAGCATGCTATGGTACGACCTGAATTTTCCTTTATTGGTCCACTGAACTTCTGAGGATAACCATATTTCCTAGTTATTTATTTCATAAGCATTTGAGTGCCACCATATGCCAGACTGAAGAAATGGGCACTGTTGTGATGAAATTACTACGGTCTCAGGGAATGATGCCAAATGAGGTCCAAGCAAACAATTCCAAGAGAAAGCAGCTCTATGGCAGCACTCTTCAGATGAGTGAGACGTAACAGTTATGTAAGATTTTATCTTAACTGTGTCAGTGGAGATTCACCACAATTCAGTAAGGTAGGCAGGGAAAGAGGAATCAGCGCCATTTTACAGGGGAGGAAAGTGAGGGTCGGACAGAGGAAGCGACTCAGCGGAGCCGCACAGATAACGCGAGCGCAAAGACAGTGGGTCTCTTTGGCAAGACTCTTCCTTCACCACCAGAACACCAGCAGTAAAACACACAACTCAAGGCTCTGAAGGATGGGACTCACATTCGTGTACTTGCTAATAAATCACTAAATTAGGTCAGATGTATTTGTTAACTTACTAATGGAATGATGAAGCTTTGTGTCAGTTCCAAAAAATAGCGTCGGAGAATAACACTCTGAGCCTCCGAAGGACGTTTCTGCTGTACACCCTTAAAAGGAGACACAGTGAGGACCCACCATGAGGACCCACAGTGACGACCCGCAGTGAGGACCCACATGTACATTCTGGCATCAGGGAATATGAAACAAGGTATAATTATCAAGTTCACTAAATAAACATTTATACTTAACAATTAAAAAAAATAAGTGAACTTCATTTTGGAATAACTTAATTTGAAGTTCGTTATGCAACATCCTATGGAAAGAATCTTACAACAAAACATGAGAGACCAGCTTAGGGAACATCATTCATCCCATACTTTAAAATATCAGTTCACTTTTTAAATTTATATTTATATTAATACTATTTAAACTTTTTAAAATGCTAACTATGTCCAACTGTTAGATGATAAGCTGCCTCATGGTAAAATCTGTAACTTTTCCAGTAGACCCTAAACCTTCTAGAGATACTGGCTCTCTTCTGTAGTTGTAGCACCAATATTCAAGTCTGTAATTGCTGCTGCTTCAGACTCCTGGTTTTTGTGATGCTTAAGACCAAAAGGACCTTTCACATCTCATATATGAAGCATGTGTATTTTAGCTGCACCTTAGGTATCTGAACAAGGAAATTTTAAATTACTAATTACAGCAAGTAAGTTACCTTCTGCAGTTGCTTTATGATCTCTTCATCTCTGTTTAGATATGGCTTATAAGAAGTATAAACTCCTAGGGGTAAAGAAAAGACAGTGAACAGAAAAGCCAAGTGCTCGCTTTGACATGTATTTTAACATTAAGAAAGGTCAGTACCAGGCTTCGAATCCAGAGTCTTCAGGTTCTTCAGTTTTTTCACCTTAACCTGCTTAGGAATTTCACCTGCAGGAAACAATAGAAATACTCTCATAATTATGGCAATCATAAACATAAAACTGGAATTGTATACATTTAATATTCTGACTACTTACTACAGAGAGATATAACTAAATCCTTCATCTTAACATAAATTAATGCTAAAGAGTTTCTTCTGGGCATTTTAAAACTAGGTAAATACAACACTGGATTATTATAATAATACATAAACAAAATTATATTAAGTGAATATTTTGTTTCCCATTAACATATATATATGTTAACCAATAATTTAAAAAACCTATGAAACGTGAAATTGCAGGTTTATGTGCCAAATAGGAATAAAATATGCCTCAAGGGTAGATGAAATATTGACTGAGTACATGTAGTCTTCAAAACTTTCTTTCCAAAGTTTAGATTTGCACAGCAGAATCTCACACTGCCACCAAGTGGTGACAGCATGTACAACACCCACAGCTCTGAAACACACGGATACAACTCCCGGGAAGGTTGTTGCTTTATCCCAACAGTTTGTCAGACAAACCTGGGCTCTGCCTTTTGGTCAAGAGAAGCTACAATTTAAACAGTGCTTACAACAGGCAGAAAATCCCTCAAGGTGCACACTCAAAGTGTCATGAACACACCTAATGTAATAGACTTTTTTTTTTCTCCCCTTCCCTATTTTTAATTTATGCATTAAATTGTGCATAGTTATGGGGTGCCATGTGACATTTTGAACATGCAATGTTCAAGACAGGATAAGCATACCTATCTCCTCAAACATTTTTCTTCGTGCAAAAGCATTCAAAATCCTTTCTTGTAGTGTTTTTGAATTATAAAAATGCATTACTATACAAATGTAACTAACAGTACTCACTGGCCAACTTTTCCCTAACACTCATCCCTTCTTGTCTCCCCAGGCTCTGCAAACCACCATTAGACTCTCAACTTCCACAAGATCAACCTTTTTTTTATTAGATTCCACATAGGAATGAGGTCATGTGGTGTTTATCTTTCTGTGCTTGGCTTACTTCATTTAACACAGGGACTTCTGAGCAGTCACTTTTAAACACTGTAGCATTACAGCATGCTTGGAGAGTATGCTGTTAACGGGGGATGAAGCCGGTTGGGTATTCAATGAGCAATGAAGATGTTTGAAAGACTAAAATGATGGGCTTGTGGACAAGTTAGTGAAGAGTAAGATGCCATGACCCAGTGTACAGTTGGACACACTCACTGCCACCAGCTGCTGAGAGTGTAGGCCACAAGCACAGTCCTGAGCCATGCAGGGACAGGCTCCTGCACAGGGCTGCTGTGCTGCATGGAGGAGCTGAAAGGAGAGGGGAGATCTGTGCCCTGCAGAGCACAGCACCACTCCTGGGCAGAGGCAGAGCCTTCAGCAAGGTGGCCAGCCCTGTTAAAGGAGGGGACCGCCAGGCTTGGGCGAGGGGAGGGAGAGAGGGGCTGAACGACAGAAATGGGCAGACTCCAGAGCTAGGCTTTCTCAGTTTTCCCCTTGCCAACTGACTCATCTTCCTCACACTCTAATTCTCATGAGAATGGATCACATCTCAAGATCTTGCTTCACAGAGTTTAGGGTACCCAGAAGAGGCTCCCGATGCCTAACTGTGGATTGGCTCAGCTCCGGCAGTTATGGCCACTTGGGGAGTAAACCAGCAGATGAAAGATTTTCTATCTCTTTCTTTTTCTGTAAATCTGCCTTTCCAATAAAAATGGACAAATCTTTTAAAAAGAAAAAAAAAAGAAAGAAAAAAAGAAAGAAAAAAAGAATTTCTACTCCCCTAGAAGTTCCAGCTAAAGTAGAGACTAGATTTGATAGATTAAGTAGATTGGATTAGATTAAATAGATGGGAAAATAAATGTCATTCAGATAAAAAAAAGAAAGAAAATAAACTAGGTACAGATGACATGATCCCGCAACATAAATATCCTACAGACCATTGGGAAAATATACATGAATTAATTGTTTCTATAAAATAGCAATAAAAAAACAAAGTGAAATTAAGAATTTTGCTTATAAATGCATCCAAAAAAAGAAACATACATAGCTTAATTTAACACATGAAATATAAGGCTTATCCAACAAAAACTACAAAACATTCTTGAGAAAAATTAAAGATCTCAACAAACAGAAACAAGTTACATGTTCATGAATAAGAAAACTCTCTACATTTATGATAGCAATTCTTCCTCCAATGATTACTTATTCGGTACAACACCTGTAGGTAAAATCTCCAACTGGCCTTTTTTTTTTTCAGAAATTGACAAACTGTTCCTAAAACTGATATGAAAATACAAATGACTTAACATCGCCAATATAATTTTGAAAAACAAGACTAAAGTTAGAAGACTTTGTGCTTTCAAAGCTTATTATAAAGACAGCATAGTCATGGTGAAAGCACAGATCAGTAAAACTGAAACAAGACTTGACATTAAATGTCAACAGATTTTCAACAAAGGAACCAACACGATTCAGTAGAAAAGAATAGTCTTTTCAATAAATGGTGTGAGGATAACTGGATACCCAGAAGCAAAATGGTGATTTTATCAGATACTCATTTTAGACCATACATAAAAATTACAGTGATCCACAGACCTAAACATAAGCACTAACAGTAAAACTTTTAGAAGAAAACATAGAAGATAAATCCTTGGGATTCTGAGTTGGGCAACAACAAATTCTCAGATTGAATACCAAAATGCCAATGCATCAGAGAAAACATTCGATAAACTAGGTTTCCTCAAAATTAAAAACCTTTCCACTTCAAAAGATATCACAAAGAAAATGTATACTAAGGGAAAGATTTGCAAATCATGTATCTTATAACATACTTGTGTCTGCAATGACTTCTTATAACCCAATAATAAGACAAAGAGCCTAACTTAAAAATGGACATCATACTTAAAACAGAAAAGAAAGATCTTTCATTTCAAGAAAGATCACATGTAAGTGAAAATTCAAAGATGAAGATAAACTCAACATCACTATCATTAGGGAAAGTCAATTAAAATGGCTATTTCATACACAGCAGAACAGCTATCATGTAAAAGCACCATCAAATGTTGGCAAAGTATAAAGAAGCGGGAACCTTCACAGACTGCTAATAAGAAAGTAAAAGAATGAGCCAGTAAGGAAAGAGTTTGGTGGTTTCAACAGCTACTCGAACCAGTGATTTTACACATAAGTTCTATACCCACATCCCAAACACAGGGTCATTTTCCACTATAAAGAGAGAATAAATAGTACCTTATTGTAATAATAGCCAGATTACATTAATTGGATCAAATCATGAAAATAAATGCCAAGACTAAGTGACAATTTTTAAGAAGTTTTCTCCTGTGTTCTTGTATTCAAAATTCTAGCAATTTCTGCTTTCTGAACTACCACTGATACTCAAGACACTAAAGGAATGGCTGCAGCCCATGCTGTTTACCTGGACCATGCTTTAGGCTCTGTTCTTAACCCTCCCTGCAAAGAACTTGTGCTTTGGAGAAGCAGTTCTGTTCAATATTAGATATCTCTGCCTGAAGGTGAGGGCCTTTTCTCTATTCAAAAAGGCTTTTAAAGCCGGGCTGGGCGGATTATTCCTACTGGTGCAAGCAAAATTAAAGTGGGCAAGGGTTGTTTGGGCTTAGACGCAGCATCAACCGGAATCTGGGAGTGGGAGAGGCCTGGGAGGGAAATAGTGGGCTCATCCCTCTTGGGTTACCACTTTCACAGGACATAAAACTAAGATAACTAAGATAGCGGCTGGGGTGGAATGGGGTGTGGGACAGACTGGATTACTGCTACACTTACTGGCAAACCAGGGTAGGGAGTGGGCCTGGTGGGGGTTATTGTGGGTCGCTCCAACCTAGGCTGCAGCTCCCGCTGGTTTAATGTGAGGGCCAAGTATGTGCTGGGCAGAACCAGGCTGGACTGCAACACCCATTGGTTCCAGTGGAAGTCGGGAGTGAAAACAGAACCAACCCAGCAACTGTAACCACCAGCTGATTGGAGCGATGGACGGTGCCAGGCCCTGTACTTGTTAGCACATACAAGAAGTTTCTTTGGAGATCTTCCTAATCTAAATGCTGGACTCAGAACCCTAACGAAGAAAACAGAGAAGACAGAACAGGTCAACCAACCATCTCAGCTATGATGGACTATGTCAATCAGTTGATTTTTCAAAGATCTCATAGTGCTTGGAGTGGCAAGATTGACAGCGATTCATGACTGTGGCAATATCAAAACCACTTGAGCAAGAACCTCAGAGCATGCCCTACATCTGGGACCTGGGGAGGGTGGGAAATTGGGTGGGCCTTCTCCCTTAAATAACCCCCTTTAAACATGAAGGTAACAATATGGAAAACATACTAGTATTATCCACTTTCATGTAGCCCTTGAACCTTCTTACCCTAATTAACTTTGTAAAAAATGTCAAAATAAAATCTTATAAACATTAAAAAAAAAAAAAAAAGGCTTTTAAGAATTTCAGTGAAAGACAAAATAGAGCTTTTACAATATGATGTAAAGCTATCTCAAATGTGACTACAGGCATCTAGGTATGGCATGCCAGAAGGGATATTTTATAAAATATTACTAGATCATGCTTTAAATACAGCCTGTGCTTACCAGAAAGAATAATCTTTAACAGTGATAAGCCACAAAGTTATTTTTTAAAAAATCAGATTTCTCATATTACAGGTATATTTCAGTGAAATTTCAGTAATGTTCATTAAGGAATGTTAGAGGTACCATTAATTTATTACCTAGATCAATAAAATTTCCAATTCTCAGAACTCACTCAATGAACACATATTTTACAAACTCTTACCATGAAAACGAAGATGTCTTTTTCTCAAGAAAAGCACAACTTTTTTTAATGTCTCCCTTAATCAATACTTGTGCCCAAGGATGTATAATATTTGTCTTGAGATATAGCTGAGAACTTTGTGCACAGTCTAGAATAACTCTAGTTTTCTATCAAGGCTTTAGCCAAATACTACTGGAAATTCCTGTTCTATTGAGCTTCTACACACATTTACAAAAAGCTCATATTTCAGGGGATTCTTTTTACTTCACTGTGATTCATTCAATGTGTGTAACACAGAAAGTACATTTTTGGGAGGAGGGCATAACATATGCATATAATTTGCACATCATAATGAAACATTCTTCTCCCAAGGTTCTCCTTTAAATTTGCTTCAAAGAACCGGGTGGGGCTTCTCCCTCAATATCCCCCTCTACCTCAGATTTATGAAGCAAACAATATGGAAATAATAGTCTTACCCACTTTCCTGTAGCCCTTGACCCTTTTTGCCCAAATTAACTATGTAAAGATTGTCAAAATAAAAAAAAATTATTTTTAAAAAAAAAAGTTTGCTTCAAAGAAAGATGCCAACAATACCAAAGGAATGACAACAAAACCAAAGAATGACAAATGTTACACTCTAAAATCACAACATCCAGATTATACTTTACCTGCAGGCTTAAGGTCTCCTATCCGAATAATGTGTGGCCAGTGCTGGAGAGTTTTAGCAAAAAAAGGATTGGTTACTCCTAATATGACTGAAGGCCTATATAAAAACAAAACAGAAGGAGGTGAGGAAAACATGAATATTACATCAGTGAGGAGTTGCTTACAACTTCTTATGAGTAACATGTAATCTTTTCCATGACTTAATGCTTTACAGATCAACTCTATGCCGAGCAACATGTTTAGCAACAGGCATGAAGATGGAGGGATGGTTCCTTTCAGTAGATACACATACCCAATCAGGATCACAAAAATTAGCAGACAATGAAGGTGGTATAAGATGGACAATAACGACAAAGGAGAATCAGTGTCTACCAAAGAGTTAAAGGACAGCCTCATCAAGGAGATGACATTTATGGAAGACACAGGAATGCTTTTTGCTTTTTTTTTTTAAGTGGACAGAGGAGAAAGGCTGAGGGTGACACAAGAGAGTGAACAGCATATGCGAAACAATAATGTGAAATCATGGTCTACTTGTGGACTACACATGGTTCAGCATTCCTGGAACACAAAGTGGAAAACATGAACAGTGAGAAGTAAGAGTGCATGTTGCACAGATCATGAAGTACTAGGTTTACAGGCAAAGGAATTTAGATGTTATCTTGCAGCTACGGATACAAGAAAGAAAGGGGAACTACTAGAACCAACTGGAGGATTACCACAGGAATGAAAGATCACTGTGGGGGAGATTTGGGAGTTACCCATACAAAGCAGGGCTTGGGGGAAGAAAAGCAAAAGCATTTGAGAAGGACTGGACTATAAAATCGGGAAGGGAGGCAGGGCAAGAAGATAATAACTGCTATGAGAACATTTTACAATGTTGAATTGGTGGGATTTCATTAAAATTTGATGTGAAATTTACAATTCACATTTATAGTAAGTAAAATCATTAATCTGGTACCATCCAATTAAAAAAAGGGATGTGAGATTTGATAAGAAAAAAGAGATGAAATGTGTTTTCATAAAGCATTTTTTCAATGCTTTATGACATCTAGTTGGCAAGTTGATGGAAAAGCAACCAGAAAATCAAGCAGGGAAAGTAGAGGGAGTTCTCTGTTTTGACTATTTTAGAAACTTAGTTCCAAAAACAAAGTGAGCAACAGAAAAGGGATGAGTAGAGATAGGGTAAGATGATTCTCTCCCTTTTACAGATTGGGAAATTTTTTCATAAAAACTGCAGTAGAATTAAAAGTACTGTTGGATGGCTATTAATGATAGAGTCCATTACTAAATGCAATCACTCAAAGATACCAACTCTTTCTCTTTTTTAGATACTAACTCTTGACATCTAAAATTTTTACCAGTAGCGCTTCAAGCCTTCTTTATAAAATTAAGATTCCTGTAAGTTCTAAACCTTAATTAAAATTGGCATTATTGAAAATAATTCTACACATTTTGGATATAAAGATTAATACCTGGTTAATAAAAGTTACTGTTTACTCACGGAGCTTGAGTTCGGGTAGTATATTCCTTGAATTCACTATCATGAATAGTGAAGTAAGGCCGGAAATCACTGCAGTACTTCAACGGAGAAATAGAGCTGTAGGGCAGGAAGAGCATGGAAAACAAAGGGCAGGAAGATTAAAGGCTCTAGAAGTCAACTATCCACACAGCTTACACCCAAGGGAAGCATTCATTTATTCTAAAAGAAGGTAAACTCATTTTAGGGAATCAGAAAGACAAATGGAAATATGAATGTAAAATGGCCCACTGAAAAAATACGTATGGAGCAGAGGATGGGATGAAATCCACACTGCAACATTCATGAGTCATGTGTCTTTGGTTAAACAGTGACCACTGATAAACTAGTATTTGTCACAAGAGTCAACTTCATGTAAATGAATGGATGTGCCTGTGGTTCAGAGTAACAAAACTGTCATTTCAGCCCTCATAGAGTCTGAACTAGCATCCTCACCCATAAATTGGTGCTATAATAAGCATTGTCTCTGACAAGGTGGTTGTGTACACCAGCTTAATACTGTGTGGGGAAGTACAACTGACGGGAAAGTGCAACAAATCCCACCACCAGGAATGTGTTATACTCACTTGACAAGGGCCAATACAGTCTCCGATGACTCTGATGGTGATGGTGCCATGACCACAAGGGGTTCCCCCAACAGCACCAGCTCCCAAAGCATTTGACTATGCAGGAAAACTGGGCAGAAACATCTAAAACATGTGGACACAGCAGAAATATTTTGTTATTTACCCAACCATGTGTGCTAATTTTTTATGCAATCATTCTTATTTAAAATATTTATATCTTGATTGCAACCACTTAAGACACCTAAGCTAGATCTATACTCTTAACCCTCAGAAACAATATAACAATAATTATTTAGGGCTGGGCATTTGGAGCAGCAATTAAGACAATGCTTGGCATGCTCATATTCCATGTCAGAGTGGTGGGATTTGAGTTGTGGCTCCAGTTCTGATTCTAGCTTTCTGCTAATGCACACTGTAGGAGGCAGCAGGTGGTGGCTCAAGTACCTGGGTCCCCTGTCACCTATCTGCATTTCAGGCTCTTGACTTCAGCCTGGCCCAGCCCCAGCTGTTCCAGGCATTTGCAGAGTGAACCAATGGGTGGAATAGTGCTATCTCTCTCTCTATCTTTCAAATAAATAAAAGTAAACAAGGAAATAGAATTTTTAAATTTAAGTACTATCAGTCATTTTAAGTATTGGAATAACTTACTACTTAGCGAGAAACAACATTGTTTCAAAGTATATCTTTGAAGGAAAAGCAATAACTCTGTGGAGAAGCTCCCAGGACACCATGATATTCAAAGAGAACATCAGCAATGAGGCAAGCACAATTTATGTGCCACTTCCCTGCCAAAGATGTAAAGCCTGAATCTAAATAGGTGTACTGCCAGATAATCCTACACCAAAAAAGTTTTGGTTTGGTTTGTTTTTGCAAAAATAACTGTTCTGTAATCCTGTAATCCACAAAACCTCATGGTCAGAAAAGTAAGACTAAAAGAAACTAGACTGAGCAAGATGGAACAGCCATGGCAGTTGAAGTCCCAAGGCTTTGGGCCGTCCTCGACTGCTTTCCCAGGCCACAAGCAGGGAGCTGGATGCAAAGCAGAGCTGTTGGGATTAGAACTGGCGACCATATGGGATCCCGGCATGTATAAGGCGAGGATCTTAACCACTACGCTATTGCACTGGGCCTTAACTGTTCCACTTCTTATCCAGCTCCCTGCTAATGCACTTGGGAAAGCAGCAGAAGCTGGCCCAAGTGGTTGGGCTGCTGTACCCAAATGCGACCTGGAAAAACTTCAGGCTCCTTCCTTTGGACCAGCCCAGTTCCAGCCATTGCAGCCATGTGGGGAAATGAACCAGTAAATGAAGTTTTCTCACTCTATCTCTCCTTCTTTCTTTAAGTCTGCTTTTCAAATAAAAACAGATACATCTTTCAGATATATACATGTACTGCTACAATAAAATTCTAATGTCAAACAAAAAATAATTTGCTTTTACCATGTAATACCCAATGCATACCCAATTTCCCTGATTGTTAAGACTGATAATACACACTCAGAATTGAACCATGGATTTACAGCATTATGAAACACAATAATTTTAAAGGCCCTATAACTAAAGTCCTCATCTTCTGTGTGCCAGGATCCCATATGGGTGCCAGTTCTAATCCTGACAGCCCAGCTTTCCATCCAGCTCCCTGCTTGTGGCCTGGGAAAGCAGTTGAGGACAGCCCAAAGCCCTGGGACTCTGCACCTGCATGGGAGACCCGGAAGAGGCTCCAGACTCTTGGCTTTGGATTGGCTCAGCTCTGGACATTGTGGCTACTTGGGGAGTGAATCAATGGACAGAAGATCTTCCTTTCTGTCTCTGCTCCTCTCTGTACATTTGACTTAAAAATAAAAATAAAATAAATCTCTAAAAAAGCCCACAATGATTCCTTTATTTCATTTTTTCCATATCCTATAAAAGAATATTCATTTTTTAAATAAAGAAACATCACAAGGTAAAAGACAAAAGGCAGTTTTTTTTTACCTGAAAAGATCCACCTCATGAACTGTTGGTAAAATAACAGATATGTGTGTGTCTGCCTAAGAGAAAAATAGGAAAAAGAAATCACCAAAATTGGCTGATATTAATTCTTAAAATGTCTATTTATTTGATGATCAATAAGGCATGCTGGTCTTGTCTACTTTTTAAAGATTATCTTTCTCCAAAAGCAGCCAGAGAAAATAGGCATTAGCAATCTCCCCCAATACAACAGAAAATAAAAAATAACACAATTAGTATATTTATTAGTTAACCAACAGTTTGACATAAGATTAATTCACAACTGTAAGAAATATCATTAGTAGTACTGGTTGGTATAGATAAATAGGAAAATGAGTTTTCCTACTATTTTCCATAGTTTACTCAATTCAAAAAACAAAGGGAGTGTCAAGATACCAGTTAAAACATTCCAAATAAAAAATTCAACCACACCCATAAACAGATGTTACTTTGATGAACATGAAAGGCAATTATAACTAAATAATTCTTTGGACTGAGTGTCCTACAGTTAGGAGAAGACTACAGACCACTCATCTACGGTAAGAGATGGTGCCAGAATTAAACTTGGTTTAATGTTTTTTTTCTTTTCTTTGTCCTCAGCATAAATCCTGAGTTCTCCAGAGTCTACTGGAGAAATAACAAGAAAAAACTCTAAGAAACATCACAAAGTTTATTATCATCTCACTAAAAGGAATATTTAGTAGAACATTTCTATAAGAGTTAGAAATATAAACCGAGGAAACTTCATCTACTAATTTAAAATTTGAAATTCTGTTAGGGAGACTGTGCTGGACTACTCCATCAAAGTACTACACCAGCCAAAGTACCTGCTGCACTATCTGAGTTGTCCCAGGCTTGTCATGACACGTGGGAATTCGTACCTTAGAGAGAAAGAGAGCAGCTTTAGCTGGGAGAGAATGAGGGACCAGACAGCTATATTATTCTGCTAAAAGTGTGTACTTAACATGCCTTTCAAAGCTATAAAAATAAAATACTTATATCCGATTAAATAACTAAGGTCATATTTGTTTTCAGTCTTATTTTTAGTTACAGAAGTTAGTGAACCAAGGTCTCCATTCCCACATTCACAAGAAAACACTAACCCACTGAGAAGCAAATGCAGTGAGAAAAGGAAAAAGGACATGAACTCCATATGGCTTCCTGTTTATTGTTCCAATCTTTGTTTCACTTTGTACACACACCCAAGCACACCCTGTTGGACTTGCCAAACTTCTGGATAAATCTCACAGGAAACAGTGGGAACTCCCAACACAGAATGCTATCAGTGCTACTTTTAATGACTTCCAAAAGGAAAAACAGAAATACCTACCCTACCCAAAAGTGAGCACATCTCAAGAGAACATAGTCAAAAACAAGTCAAGGGCCTGGCGGCATGGCCTAGTGGCTAAAGTCTTCGCCTTGAACACGCCAGGATCCCATATGGGCATCAGTTCTAATCCTGGCAGTCCTGCTTCCCATCCAGCTCCCTGCTTGTGAACTGGGAAAGCAGTCAAGGACATTCCAAAGCCTTAGGACCCTGCACCTGCGTGGGAGACCTGGAGGAAGTTCCTGGCTCCTGGTTTTAGATTGGCGCAGCGCCGGCCGTTGTGGTCACTTGGGGAGTGAATCGTCGGATGGAAGATCTTCCTCTCTGTCTCTCTTCTTCTCTGTATATCTGACTTTGCAATAAAAATAAATAAATCTTTTAAAAAATGTCTAACTTGATAGTGAATTGCGAAACACATCATACTCATAAAAAGACTGAGGGCAAAATGTTAATATGAAAAGTAACCAACTGGAGAGCAATACCTAGGGATGAACATAATAGTTTGTTTTTTGAAATTTATTTATTTATTTATTTTTATTGGATAGGCAGATCAGATTTAGAGAGAAAACAGAGAGAGAAAGATCTTCCATCTGTTGGTTCACTCCCCAGATAATCACAACAGCTAGAGCTGAGCCAATCTGAAGCCAGGAGCCAGATTCTTTCAGGTCTCTCATGTGGGTGCAGGGGACCAAGGCCTTGGACCATCCTCAGCTGCTTTCCCAAGCCATAAGCAAGGAGCTGGATAGGAAATGGAGCAGAGGGAAGGCCCCTATATGGGATCCCGGCACCTGCAAGGTGAGGATTTAGCCATTGAGCCATCACACTGGGCCCAAACATATGTTCTTACATTGTAGCTTAAGATGATCATTTCTAATAAGAACCAATGGCTTTCCTAGTTTCCTTAATTTTTTTAATGATTAATGTTTGATTCTACTAGTGATCTGTTTTTTGTTAACTATCTCTCTCTTGAAGTACTGGAATGTAAAAGGAGTCCCAGAATTCCAAGAGGTGGCATTTACTGCACATATGTCACATATAACGTCTCACATCAATGACAAACAAGTGAAGCAGTTATACCACCAAATGCTATTGAGAAGTTAAACCCTTGTGTGAACTTCCCAGATTCTTGAAAGAGGAAACAAATATGGTATCAGCTGTTACCTTCATTACCACCCCCATGATGGGCAAGTGTAATGTTTTCCCTGGCACTGGAGCAGGCCATCGATCAACATCATTACAAGCTGAAAAGCAGAACAAAATGCTTCTTCAGTGTAAGTAGAAATAGTAAAGTATTCAAAAACGAAGCAATAGAAATAAAATTCTACTTCCTATAGAGCAAGAGAAATATACTAGGAAGAATGAAAAATAAGGTAATAGCAAAGTACATTTTATTCAGAAAACCATACACTTTAGGATATAAACTTGTTAATAAGCTTTTGGAAGTAATAAAATAATAAAGGAAGTCTTCCTATAAAAAATTACTACCAAAATTCCCTAACAAAGCATACCTCTGGCAGAGGTCTTCCAACTGTATCAATCTGTTAAGGATTTATTAGTACTCTGTCCACTCAGAACTCATTCATTAGCATCCTAATAAATAAAACATCTATGGTGTTGGAGAAGGCAATGAAAGACAGCTTCTATGTTTGCAGGCAAATATACCAGACAAACAGTTTTATAGTTCTCACCCATTTTACAGCCCTTATATTCCATTTAGTATTTTCTTATTTTAGAGGCAAAGAGAAAAAGAGTTTCCATCTGTTAATCCACTCCCCAAATGTCCATGGTATCCAAGACTGGGCAGAGATTGGAGCCAGAAGATAGGAACTCAAGCCAGGTCTTGCACTTGGGTAGTAGGAACCCAATGACTTGAGCCATCACTATTGTTTCATGGGGGCTGCACTAGCCGGAAGCTAGTCAGGAGCCAGTGGGATGCACTGAACGAGGCACCCTGAACATGGGCCGTGGGCATCTTAACACCATGCCAAATCCCTGCCCCAGTCCCTAAGTTCTTACCTAAGGTCCAACTATTTTTAGCACACAACTCCACTAAAAAATTTTAATTTCTTCATAAGGATACACAACTCCTACAATAGTTAACTTACCTGCTTCCAAATAAGGTTCACTCTTTTCAAAGTACTCTGGTGCTATCTGTTTCAGCACGGTGTGGAAAAAATGAATATAAGGTAGTTTGCTGATCAAAACCAAGGACTGCAGAGAAAAAAGAAACAAATTTTAACCACCTAATGCTCGTAACTTAAGCTTTCCATTCACTGCTTGCAGGTTCAATTGCTACTATGCTAAAGATAGCAAAAGGCTTGGCTTTGAAATAAGGCTTTTATTGCAGACAGAAGGAAACAGAAAACCACTGCTGAAGCATGCAAAATATTCCATGGTATTACTACACTTTACTAACATAAAAACATATTCAGATTTTCCTGCTCTCCAGGAAAAACAATTTCCTATAAATCGACTAATATCATGGATCATTTCCAAAGTCTACCTATTGTCCCTAGCATAGCAATATCAGGATTAGATTTTTTTTTTTAAAGAAAACTCTTCCTATTAAGGAAAGAATAAATTATACAGTTTTTGGAGAAAGACCTACAATTTTGTATTCTACAGTTCAATTTTCATATCCATATACTTTATAGTGATTTAATAGCTTAATTAATTTAGATATAGATTATGCTGATTTTTGGTTTTTGTTTTTCTTGAAAAACCACTCTTTTTGTTTCCAGCCAGTATCAATTAGCAATCAGGGTAAATTCTGACTTCAAATGAGTAAAGTGTGCCCTGCTGTCTGTCTGGGACTAAATGCTATAGATTTAGGGGTGGGAAGTAGAAAACAAGATTGAATATTTAGGATGTAAACAAAAAGGCTAAGATATTGCTACAGTTTATTCACTGGCACTTCAGAAAGACATTCTAAGGGTTTTTTTGTTAGGTGTAACAATATTACAATCTGTTAAGCAAAATCTTCCATAAAAAAATCAAGCAGAATATTCCCTACAATAATCATAATTTATTGTCAGGAATCTATAACACAGAAAAAAAATTTTCAATGGCAGTGAAAAATCTATCGACAAGTGTCTGTGATCTAAAAAAAAATATAGAAACTCTAGTTATGTTTTAAGGCTAAAATATCAAAAAGTGTAAAGGTGGGTAAGCCTAACAATTTCTATATTTCTAACAATATAGAATCATTTTATTAGCTTATATGAAAGTTACCTTCTGAAAGTAGCCTCTTTTTAGAGTTTTATCTCGAACTTGTCGGAAATAGACATATCCATAAAAATAAGCAGGATCTTTCTGTGGAAAGAAATGACAAACATACATATGTATACATAGTTATTCTTTATCACTAACACCAAGCTAAGCCCGAATCAAGACGTGAGGTACACACAAACAACTGGCTATGCTTTTCTGCCAACAAGTAACAACCACAAGGGTAAATGCCAGATGGCAAACCCACTAACTTGGCCACAGGCGAAACCATCATAATCTTACTACTAAAGTCAAATGTTCCCCCTGCAACATAGGCAGCTTATGTTAGTTATCCATATCTATGCTAGGGTCAAGCTTAGGAGACAATCAAATTCTGTGCTTTCCCCCATGGTATATTAGCTTTTTAAATATTCTGCCTATAATTTTGAGTTTCTCAAGGTGAAGGTACCAGCTTTCACTAAAACGAGAAGTCCTAATGCACACTCTCAAGAAGTTAATGTTATAATGAATCTTCTAAAGCCAGTTATTTTATTCCAAAAGTAATGAAACACAATTTTTATCGATCCCAAATTCAAGATAATTAGATTACTGAAAGAACGAAGAAGTTCTCACATCCTAATGGAATAAACATCAGCTCTGTTTTATATTTGACAGATACTTCTTCAAGAAATATTGACTATCTACTTGGAACAACATATTACATTAGAGAAGATTAAAAAGGCACACAAAGCACAGTTCCTTGGGATTACAATCTGGAACAAGTAAAGTTCAAAGGGGACATGAGGTTACAGGAGGGCAGGTACCATAAAGAAAGCACGGAGTGTTTACAGGAAGGCCTAAAAGGGTGAGCAGATTTCATAGAGGTAACTGTTTCTGAATTGAGCATTGAGGATGGATAGGACTGAAACAAAAACAAAGACATTCCAGGTATAGAGGGCCAGGGATTTGAGCAAAAACAGAGACAGTGCTGGACTGTCTCCACTGTGTGGTCCTTCAGCTTTTTTTTCTAACTTCATAATATTAAAAGAACTCATGTTAGAGACCCTTTCCACTTGGAAGGCTTTGTAGTTGTGACATGACATACATTTTATTGTTTGTGATAAAATGATCTATACAAAAAAGTCCTGTGTTAGCTTCAACACTTTGCACATGACTTTTTTTTTTTTCTTCCATTCTACATTACCATCTACAACCTCCCTAACTCTTAGCATCATTTTCTACTGAGATTCTGGAGCCTAGGGAGCTGGAGTTCTTTTGGTTGGCTTTTTGTTCTCGCTTCCCTGAAGCAAGAGAATTCACGGCTTCCAGTGTAAAGACTTCAGACCAATCCCTTGTTATTACACTTGGTTGCCTCTTGGCTTTTTAATTTGTGAGTGCAAAGGACTGATTTTTTTTCAATGAAGTACCGTAGAGAATAAATCATAATGGGTAAAACAGACAGAAATACAAACTATCACATGAAAAACCACAGGGTTCAGTTTGGCAAAAATACAAATATAGACATGACACTGGAAAAGTAAATGGTTTTATTTTGAAAGATCCAAAAAGTGAGGACTAGGAAACAGTATTATCATTAACTTTCCCATTAGGCAATTAACAGTCACGTTAGATCTTATTTTATAATACAACAAGTTCACAGCAGGCAAAACTTATTTTGATGCCAAAAAGCCCCTGAAATCCACGAATACATGTGCACACTTTAGCTGGCAACATTGTGGTAGTTGGAAAACATAGAATTGAGAGGTCCTGCCTGGAGCAAATTTCTTATCATTAACAGACCTAAACTAACTCTTCTGCAAAAGGGACTCTCACCTCACTATCAAGAAGATTGAAATGGGATGACATGCTTATTATACGATGCCAAGAACACAAAAGCCCTGATGATTAATTGCTTTTATATTCACCAGTTGGAACGATTTGGTATTAATGGTAACAACTGGTCCTGGAAAAGAGTAGAAGACTCAAAGAGACACTTCGGAGGCACTGTCTTCATCAGCTGAGAGAGGGTTTCAGCCATTAGAACCAGGGTGGTAAACTATAAAGAATGATTTCAGGCTAATGCACCAACTTCATACTGGATATGTTAACAGCATATCCAATTAGAAATGTCCCTGGGGACTGGGGCGGTAGCCTGCTGGCTGGAGTCCTCACCTTGCATGTGCCAGAATCTCACATGGGTGCTGGTACTAATCCCAGAGGCCCTGCTTCCCAACCAGCTCTCTGCTTGTGGCCCGGGAAAGCAGTCAAGGATGGTGCAAAGCATTGGGACTCTGCACCCATTAGAGACCCAGAAGAGGCTCCTGGCTTCAGATTGGCTCAGCTCCAGCTGTTGTGGCCACTTGCGGAGCGAATCAACAGAGGATCTTCCCTTCTATCTCTCCTTCTCTCTGTATATCTGACTTAGCAATGAAAATAAATAAAATAAATCTTTAAAAAAAAAAGAAACAAATGTCCCTCTAGCAGCTATAAATGTATGCATGGATTAGCAAAGAAAGAAATCTATAGATGCTGAAATCATGTGAGTTATTAGAACTGTTTCAGTAATCACTAACTATAAAATAAAACTCATTAAGATACCAGAAATCTGATGACATGCTATCATAAAGTACTCAGGGATTTCCATAGGGAGCGAGTACCCCAATTCTGGGTGATCTTTACCAATGAACACTACTTCAACTCCACATCTAAACAGGAATTATTAATGGCAGAAAAATTACTTCAACACTCTAATCCATCTCTTCAATTCATAATAGCACTATATTTTGAAACCAGTAGCTTTATAAAGTCTCTATACTCTCATGTTGAGTCATTAAAAATCAGAATCACGAGGAAAAGCAGCTAGCTAATACAGTATTAAAACAAAAGTAAAAGAGGCGACAGTGAGTTCTAAGTTCCCTCTTGTGGATATTTTGCTACTTTTCCAACCTTTAAGTAAACTGGCAAATCTTTGTCAAACTGATCCAGGAGACAATGCAGGGACACCCTCCGCCCAGAAGACTGCCGAAATCTGAAACAAAACTGGGTATCTCCAAGACAACCTAATGAAAACAAAAAATGAAAGAAGTTAAGGAGAGCTTAGTTTAATCCAGTTTTCATCAATTTTAGAGCTGAAGAAACCTTAAAAATTACTTTATCTCATTCTTTCCTGTTTCAGAGAAGATAAAGAAGATTGTAAGGATTCAATGACTTGTTCAAAACAATCTTTTCTGGTTAGACCCAGCGTCATAAGGAAAACAATCATCTTTGCTCTAAAGATATTTACTTTTTGTTCTATTTAATTTTCCTCATATATATCCATAATGTAGACTCACAAGCATAATAATGAAGAAATAAAGCCAAACACAAACAATTGTTCAATCCCATTTCTAAAACATTGCAAAACTGGCTAAACTAAAATACATTATTCAAACAGTTTGGTATTGAAAGCATAAAACTGGGCCTGGTGCGGTGTCCTAGCAGCTAAAGTTCTCGCCTTGAACACGCCAGGATCCCATATAGTTGTCGGTTCTAATCCCGGCAGTTCCGCTTCCCATCAGCTTCCTGCTTGTGGCCTGGGAAAGCAGTCGAGGAAGGTCCAAAACCTTGGGACCCTGCACCTGTGTGGGAGGCCCGGAGGAAGTTCCTGGTTCTTGGCTTCAGATTGGCGTATCACCAGCAGTAGTGATCACTTGGGGAGTGAGTCATCGGACAGAAAATCTTCCTCTCTGTCTCTCCTCCTCTCTGTATATCTGACTTTACAATAAAAAGTAAATAAATTAAATCTTGTTTATAATAAGAAAGCATAAAATAAAGCAAAAACTAAATCACTCCATTGTCAGGATACTGGTCACATTTGGAAGAAGAACAGTTCGAAAGAGAATTTTCAGGCACTAACAAAGTTCTATTTTTTGGCCTTATTCTGTGATTCACAGTAAGAAGTTCCTCTTAAAAGATACAATACAAAACACTCAGGTAGAGCCCAAGTTATAACTTACCATATTAATCACTTTAATAAAAAATGGGATTTTTCCAGCTCACGCCTCATGGCCTGAGAAAGCAGTAAAGGATGGTCCAAAACCTTGGGACCTGCACCCATATGGGCGACCCGGAAGAAGCTCCTGGCTTCTGGCTTTGGATCAGCTCAGCTCCTGTCATTGTGGCCAGTTGGATAGTGAACCAGTAGAAGAAAGATCTTTCTGTTTCTCCTTTTCTTTGTAAATCTGTCTTTCCAATAAAAGTAAATATCTTTTTTTTAAATGGGATTAAAAAAACCTGTAACCATTTTAGCAATTTCTTGAGACGCAAACTTCAAAATCATTCTGGTAACAATTTAAAAAAAAATGTAAAAATCACCTGAAATAATTAATGATTCAAACTTGTCCTGGATACAATAATTAATAATGCTACAAACGTGAAATACGATCAAGATCTTCATTGTGACACATGAGTTGTTAACATTTCTTTAGGCAGGATATTCTCAAGAGAGGAAATAGAAACTTGACAATACATTTAAATTTTTAAAAAAGTAATCCAGTTCAAATAAATAAGTAAATTTTTAAAAAAGTAAATAAAAACCCACCCAGTATGAATATCTCAATGAAATTAGAGACATTACTATTTCTTTAATGGTGAAGAGAAGAAACAGAGAGAACTGCAGAAGGTGAGGCCGTTCAGTTTCTCTATTTGTTAGAGTAGCTAGTTCAAAAACAAGGCAAAGAGACAAATGTGGTTTAATGAGAGCTACCCTGCAAACAGGTTTCAGATCGTTTTGATTCAGCAAATTTATACTGATGATTCAACTTTTTTCTTTAAAAGATATTTAAATCTTTATAAAGAGAAAAAAATCAACAGAGTGAAAATAATCTGCACATAGGAAGAAATTATTTGCAACTCATCTACCTGGGAAGGGATTAATTCTTCCGAATAGACTTTTTCCAATAGAAAATAAAAAATGCACAACAAGTCTATGAAAGATGCCCACGAATCGTTAGAGAAGTGCACAACTAAATCACAATGAGATGCCACTTCACACCTGTTAGGGTATTAGTGAAACAAAACAAAACAAACAAACCAGAAAATCACAAGTGTTGACAAGGATTCAGACGTATTAACCTCTGTGCATTGTTGCCTGAAGATAAAGTATCAGAGCTGCTATAGAAAACAGTGTGGGGTTCCTTTAAGAAAAAATCAAAACCAGAATTCCTAGATGACTCAGCAATATGACTTCTGGGTACATGCGTTTAAAAGAACTGAAAATAGGTTCTCCAAGGGATATTTGCACACCTTTGTTCATCCCAGTATTGTCTGTAGCAGGCAGGAGTGGAATATTATTTGGATGTTAAAGAGAAGGAAATCCTGTCATGTGCTACAACACAAATGAAAAATAAAAAAGAAAGCATGATTCCACTTACTCTAGATACCTAAAATACTTAGCCTCTAAGGAACAGAAAAGTTAAATGGTAGTTGCCAGGGGCTGGGTGGAAAGAGGAGAAAGGAAGTTGTGAATTAAAAAGCTTTGGGGTCTGAGTCGTGCTACAGTGGATTAAGCCATCATCTGCCACACTAGCCTTCATATGAGCCCATGTTTTCAGTCCCAGCTACTCCACTTCTGACCCAGCTCTCCACAAATGTGCCCGGGAAGGCAGCAGATGACCCAAGTGCTTGGGGCCCCTTCCACTCACCAAGCAAACTAAGATGGAGTTCCAGCCTACAGGCTTGCATATGGCCTGGTCCTGTTGCTATAACCAATTGAGGTATGAACCAGAGGATGGAAGATCTCACTTTTCCTTCCCTCCGGCTCTGAGCCAGTAGATAGAAGATCCCTCTGTAACTCTGCCTTTGAAACAAGTCAAATAAATCTTAAAACAAAAATTTCAGTTTTTTAAGATAAAAAAGTTTGAGATATATTGCAAAGATGCATACATAGTTAACATTACTGTGCAATATACTCAACATTGGTCAAGTCATTTTATATGCATGTTTCAGACCATAATGAAAATAAAGTTGATTGCTGTAACAGTTGCACAACTCTAAATATAGTAAAAGTCACTGAATTGTACAATTGATATGAGTGAATTTTATCTCAATAAAGACATTATTTTTTAAAATGTCACTCCACCACTAAATGGAGAGGGGGAATAAAACGTTTCTTCATCCAAACAACAGAAGTTTCTCTGTAAAAGGTTACTCAGCTTGAAGAGTTCTTGAACTCAGCTTGCCACTGAGTCACGTCATTCATTCAGGGAGCGAGGCCTTTCAGTCACAGCTCCTCCTTCTCGAACATCATGTGGGAAGGCAGGAAGAGACTGCCACTCATTTTAGAGTTATCAAAAGCTCGGAGAATTATGTAAGCGTCCTTTACCTCTCCAACTCAAACAGAGACTGCAGAGCTGAAGGTAAATAACACTCTTCTTACACCAAAAATATCACTCTGGAATTTAGGAAAAAAAAGTTGAAACACATCATTTTCTTGAAGGCAACAGACAACTTTAAAATATTACTTTTATATTAGCACAATGCCAAATGCCTAAGACAAAATGTAAAAGTTCAAGAACTAGCTATAGAGGCCAGCACTATGGCACAGTGGGTTCTGCCACGCCTGCGATGCGAGCACCCTAAATATGCACTGGTGTGAACTCTGCTGTTCCACTTCTGATTTGGCTCCCTGCTAACACACTATCACTCAAGTGGGAACTCTGGATGGAGTTCCAGGCTCTTCCTTCCGTCTGGTCCAGCCCTGGCCTCGGCCCCATCTATTGTAGCCATTTGGGAAGTGAATCAACAGATGGAAGATTTCTGTCTTTCAAATAAAAATAAGTAAATCTTTAAACAAGAGAGAGAAAGCTCCAATCCATCATCATCAGCTCTGTGTAGTCACTCGCCATGAAACTAGAGTAGCTACATTGCAACTGCTGAGAAACAGTACATACAGTTGAGCTGAGTTTCTCAGAGCATCCTATACACCAGTCCACAAACTCTCACTATGGACCCACAACCAAATAAATATGAAAGTTAAAATATTTGGAATGATAAATATGGACTTCGATTGTTTTTATTTATTTGTGCTTTTTAGATTTCATTTTTCAAATAATTCATTCTACATTGCATTCTAAGTCCATAAGAGACTTTAAAAATTTAGAAACCTCTAATGGCTCTTCAGGAATAGCACCATAATCTTAGCTGTAGCCACTGCCAAGTGTAAGCTTGCAGGCTGTTTCAGAAGCACCTACATCTAGAAAACACTTGTGATAAACAGAAAAGAGGGAAAAAAATGGACAAGTATTTGTCAGAGAAAAAGCACATTTTAAATCTAGGGTCCTAAAGATAAAAATCATTCAAATGTAACAAGAAACATAAAAATAAACAAAAGTTTCTTCTAAAATCATGAGGATTTCATGGGCAGTGTGGGGGAAGCAGGGGATAGAAGAGGCAGTGCTGGGACTAGTGAATCAATCCACTGGGAATTCCAAAATCACTTTTTCTGACCTGTGTAGCAGTCTGAAATGTTTCATTTTTTTCTCAAGCTGGTGCCATGAAAAGAAAAGCTTGATTTATGAGTCTTTCCTAAGGACGACTCTCCTGTACCTAGATTTCCTTCCCTAGCAAGAACAGCTACTTAGGGAAAACTAAATCCACTTCAAGACTGGCACCGTAATCCCAACTTCCACTGAAGGGACATATAAGAGAAACGAACATTTTGGGGGATGACAACTTGGAACGGTGATGATAAATATGTACAAAACACATGGTCTCCTGCTGCTCACAGCCTCATAATGTTCAAATGCCTGCTTTTGGGGGAGATGCCCGCTTTCAAGATGTTTTGTCAGTTTGAGTTATAAATCTCAACCATACTGCAGTGTAAAGAAATATACTTCATTTGATACAGAACTTGTAAGCGGGCATTTCAAAACATCAGTAGATCATATGCCTAACATATCAAAAAGTTTTTCATCTATATAGATCTAAAACAAATTTAACTTCCATAAAGAAAATAATACATAGAATACATGCAGAGTAATCATAAAATCATAAAATTATATAAAATTACATATAACCATAAAAAGGATATTGAAACCACATAGAATTAAGGGGGGAGACTTTTCTTCTGCTCTTTGAAGCAGCAGATGCAAGCTCTCTCCCTCCATCTCTACCTCTCTTTGTGTAACTCTTACTCTAAAGTAAAAATTAGAAGTAAAAATTTAGAGGCTAAATTCCTTGCGTTGAACATGCCAGGATCCCATATGGGTGCCAGTTCTAACCTTGGCAGTCCCACTTCCCATCCAGCTCCCTGCTTGTGGCCTGGGAAGGCAGTCAAGGATGGTCCAAAGTTTTGGGACCCTGCACCCCTGTGACCTGGAGAAAGTTCCTTGCTCCTGGCTTCAGATAAGCTCAGCTCCAGCCATTGTGGTCATTTGGGGAGTGGGTCAGTGGATGGAAGATCTTCCTGCCTCTCCTTCTCTCTGTATATCTGACTTTCCAATAAAAATTTAAAAATCCAAAAAAAAAAAAAAAATAGAGCAGAACCAGCTACCGTGTGAAAAAAAAAAATGTGCTATATAATCCATGGGACTCCAATGACTCCAATTGCAGAAAGTCAGTCTGTCCTGCAATCCTGCAATGCAGACAATTCATAGCTGTATGTACAAATTTCCTAAGGAAAATGCTAAACAAGGATGGAGCCCAGAAAACCTCTCTCGCATTATTTCATTAATGGACAAACAACTCTAAAGGGTTGTAATCATTACAGATCAGAACAAGGAGTGCTACACTGTAATTTCTCAAAGGTAGCATATACTTTACCAAGATATCCACTTTTCTTTCATGTTTCACCAAAGCGGAGTTTCAAATATACAGAGGAGAAACTCTGGAGGCATTTAAACAGAAAGGAGAAAACTGCTAAAACAAAACAAAACAAAACCAAAAGCAACACAAAGATATAATGTTAAATTTCCCAAGTCAGGTGAACTAAACTAAGTTCACAGGATATTAACGGGAAACCGGAGTGACTGCCTTATAGGGTTTTTACTGTGTGGGGCCAGAGAGGCTGAAAGCTCTGGTCACTGTAATCCTAAAATACTATTTTGAAAGGAAAACACAGGAGGTAACCTGAAAGATGTCAGCCATTAGGACCACACAAAGGAAGTTTGAGAGAGACCAGCAAAAACCAAACTTAACAATAAGCAACCACTCACATGATTTTTCTATACACCAAGAATCTCTCCAAGTGCTTTATATAGTATACGAACCCATTAACTACTGCAAATGATTGATGACTGTGTTTGATAACCAGTCATTGTTTTTTTAATATATATAAACTCACTGCTTTTACAAAGTTCCTGGCAATCTCCGAAACCATACCACTGCTGCTCACTTTCAATCTCCTCACTATTGCAACAGTTTATTCCTCCGGGATGTTTTACTTCATTACACCATAACAGTTATTTTAAGAGTGGAACCAACCAAAACCAGCAATGACATGATTAGGAATCAAAATAATGATTTTGTTGAGCTAAGATTGAGTTTGCATTCTAACACGTTATTTCAACTAATTTTCAGATATTAGAATGTACTTGGTATTCTCAATATAAAATTCAAAAGAAACACTACATGAAAAATAGTTACCTGAATTTGAATCTGGAAAAGACAAATAGCAAATATTGGTTTTCTGAAAAAGAAAACAAAAGCTATATATGCTGACACACACACACCAATAAAATCAAATTTCACAGCAGAGCATGCAGGACAATATTTTTACTTACTTCTTTATCAGTAAGTTTGGAATGTTGAGGATAAATTACCTAGAAAAAAAAGTCAAATATTGTTAGCTATAAACATTAACAGGTACTTCAAATAGAGTACTTACAACAGTCAAATAGCTTTAATAAACAGGTTATAAGTCCTGACAGTGTAACAAGGAGGACGCTGGGAAAACTGAGTAAAATTCACTTCCAGTTAAAAATTGAGGCAGGCCTGGTGCAATAGCCTAGTAGCTAAAGTCCTCGCCTTGCATCCACCAGGATCCCAGGCACTGGTTTGAATACTGGCTGCTCCACTTCCAATCCAGCTCCCAGCCTGTGGCCTGAAAAAGCAGGAGAGGACAGCCCAAAACCTTAGGATCCTACACCCATGTGGAGGACCCAGAAGAAGCTCCTGGCTCCTGGCTTCAGATGGGCTGAGCTCTGGCCATTGTGACCACTTGGGCAGTGAACCAGCAGACAGAAGCTCGTTCTCTGACTCTCCTTGATCTATCAAAAAACAGTACTTTACAAGACACAATATATATCATTATCTACTTACTAAAAGGAAAATTAAGTATCTGTGGTCTAAGAAGTCTCAATGATCTCCCATTATAAGGCTCAGTCTAATACCTTCAATGCCTTCCAATATTCATCACGTGATTCCCAGACAGGTGATTTAGCACCTGCAATGCTCTAACCTCCTTCTGAGGTAAACTCCTGCCTCACAACCACTGCAAATGAAACAGAAGTGAGCCAAGCAGCTGCTGCCAGAGAAACCACCAGTAAACAGCAGGTCCAAGGGTATCCACTCTACAAGGTATCACCAACCTGCCCCATGATCATCAACCCTGAGATGGACAAGACATTTATTAGAGTGACAAAACGTGCTTCCCGACTAGTCAATACATTAGTGACAGACAAAAGGCACCTCATAGCACTGGCAGTTATGGGTTGCCCTTATGCAAATAAGGTAACAGAGGAGTACTGTTAAGGTGCCATCTGAGGTTGAGAGCAAGGCCCTCAATGCATACATACACACACAACTCAGGCTTCTAGTGTGTGAAACTAAGACTCAGAAGTTGGCCAACATTTTATTTTTTTAAGGATTTGTCCTACTTATTTGAAAGGCAGAGTTATAGAGGGAGAGAGAAAGAGGGCTTCAATGCACTAGTTCACTCTCCATTTAAGTGGCCGCAACAGCCAGGGCTTGGAAAGGCCAAAGTCAGGAGCCTGGAACACATTCAGGTCCCTTAAGTAGAAAGCAAGAGCCCTGATGCTTGGTCCATCTTCCACTGCTGATCTGGGTCCATTAGAAAAGATCTAGACTGGAAGTAGAAGAACCAGGACTTCAACAAACTCTGAAAATGGCATGCCAGTGTTGCAAGTAAAGGCTTATCCACTCTACCACATGCCAGCCCCAGAAGTCAGCAAACTTTTGTATTCTCAGTAAACAGTTTACAATTTAATGGCAAGAATCTTTAAATTCGTGAGTAGTCAAACCTACAAACTTGTAATTTCTCTCTTTCTGCTCTCACTCATAGAAATAAGAATCAGTTCTGGTATTTTCCGAGTCCCCACCCTGGATATATCCAGATTTACTTTTAACAAAGACATCTCTTCAGTTCAGAATTCAGAAACATAACAATGCCTTGACAAATATCCACTACTATCTTTTAAGAAATACATGCTTCCAGATCAGTAATAAGAGCACCTCACATTAAATCCCCCTCAGAGGCAGCATTAAATAGGGGTTTCCAAAATAAAAATAACAATAGTTTAAGATTAGATTTTCTCACGTGATGTGGGGACAAGAAATGTAGCCTGGGTACACAACTTAGACTCAAATTCTGAAATAATTAGTCCATTTCAATGGTGCAATGGATTAAATCATGTCCTGCAAAATTCCTATGTTGACCTCACCCCCAGTGTGACAATATTCTGAATGGGGGCTTTCAGGAGGTAATTAGGTCATGACAGTGGAGGTTGTGATTGGATGAGAGAGCTCACAAGGGAAAAAGGTGAAATCTTTCCTCTTTAAAAAAAAAAAAAAAGATTGGGGGCCTGGCACGATAGCACAGTGGTTAAGGTCCTTGCCTTGAAAGCGCCGGGATCCCATGTGGGCACTGGTTCTAATCCCGGCAACTCCACTTCCCATCCAGCTCCCTGCTTGTGGCCTGGGAAAGCAGTCAAGGACGGCCCAAGGCCTTGGGACCCTGCACCGATGTGGGAGACCCGGAGGGAAGTTCCTGGCTCCTGGCTTTGGATCGGCACAGCACCGGCAGTTGCGGCCACTTGGGGAGTGAATCATCAGATGGAGGATGGAGGATCTTCCTCTCTGTCTCTCCTCCTCTCTGTACATCTGCCTTTCTAATAAAATAAATAAATCTTAAAAAAAAAAAAAAGTTAATGAGGTTAGCACTGTGGTGTGAGTGGGTTAAAGCACCACTTGCAGTGTTGAGTATCCATATAAGCGCTGGCTCATGTCCCAGCTGCTCCACTTCCAATCCAGCTTCCTGGAAAGCAGTGGAAGATGGTACAATTTCTTGTGCCACTGTTACCATTTGAGAACACTGAAAGACATTCCTGGCTCTGGGGAAGCCCGGTCAGGCCACCGCAGCCATCTGGAATGCAAACCAGCAGATGGAAGAATCTCTTTCTTTCTCTCTGACTCTGTCCTTCAAAAATATAAATAATTTAAAAGTTTATCTTAAAGACAGAAACAAAAAAAAAAAGAGAGAGAAAGAGAGAGCAATCTTACATGTGCTGGTTCATGCCCCAAATAGCTGCAGGGCTGAACCAGGTCAAACACAGGAGCCCCAATCTCTATCCAGGTCTCTCACACCGAGCGATTCAACTGTCAACAGTTAACTCTTAGAATGCATTAACAGAAAACTGGTCCAGAAGTAGAAGTGGGACTTAATTCCAGACACTCCAATACGGGATGTGAGCTTCCCGAGCAGAGGCATTTACCACTGCACCACAACATCTGTCCAAGAAAAGGACTTGCCTATTTTCAGTTATGTGAGGACTCAGTTACAATGAGGACTCTCACTAGAAACTTGGTCTTGGACCTCCCAGAGGACAGAAATAAAATAAATGTCTGTTGATGCTGCCCTATCTACAGCCTTTGTTACAGTAGCCACAGCAGAGAAGTACAGATGGCTTGTGGGAAGACAGGAGATATGAGAATAGAATGTACCGGTATGGTTACCATATGTAGGGATCCTGTTCTTCCATCTTTCTATCTTCTAAGAAATATTAAACATACATTCCCACCTGCCCTGACAGAAGGTAATGGATTTGAAAAATTAACATTTTGTCATCTATTTCTTCGTTGTTGCTTTTCATTTTACTGTCCTAACCTATGTCTTTGCTTCCTATCATCTCTTCTCCACTTCAGTTTTTCTTTTTCTTTAAAGCTTATCCTAAAAATAAACAAATACAGGTCTACCTCTTCAGCCTCCCAGCAGTCATGGTGTATAACAGAAAGCACTGGTCCCAAAACCGGATCTTGATTGTGACTGGATGTGCCCTTGTGGGAAATCACCAGCCAGCTGATGCCTCACCTCTGCTTCCAGAGTATGAAGGGGTACCTCCCACACCCACTGCTCTCCATACTGGTATGGCCTCTCCCAAGTTTCTGTCCATCACCATGCTCAGCACCCCATGTCATCTCAGTGTTAACCTCTCCCTCCCCACTCTGCCAGGCTGTGTTGCAGCTGCAGTTCTTGCAGCTGCTCTCCGTTTGCAGCTGAGCCCCCTCCTTCCACTCAAGATTAAAAACTCCTTAGCAGCTTCCTTAATGTGGTCCACAAGCCCCTCCACACATCCGTCCTTTCCCAACCTCTTCAGTTTCACCCTGCCCTGGCTGGCTTATGCTCAAGGGGCATTCCCCAGTCAGTGGGCAGACAGCAATTCCCCTAATTCAGACTTAGTCATTCCCTTGACCTCTTCCTCTCTCCCTCTCCTTCAAACACACACAAACACACACACACTTACACACGATCATAATATTATGCTGCTTCATGGCCACTTCCATTTTTCATGTGCAGCACAAAATACATAATTCACTACAGACTTAGTCTGTAATTATTTAACCTCAGTCTCCACAACTCACAAAGAAGCAACAACATGCTTGGCTTCATTCACCATTTAGAACGGTCTATGGACCGGAGCAAACACCATAAAAATGCCTGCTCAACCCTAGGATTAATTCAGTGAACAGTATTTAATAACATATAATCTTTCCTATGTGCATGCAGATCTCCCCTGCTTTGCGTTAGGATCATTTCATTTGTTGCAGCAGAAATGGCAAACCAAAAATCATTTATTTTTGTTGTGCTCTATTCAAATTTCATGAAAACCTCATTATAGCTCTGGAGACTGCTGGTCTGCATCACATTGGCAAGTTTAGCTCAATCTTAGACTAGAAGTTCAGTTTTACATAAATGTCCTCCAGATTTTACTTCCCACAATTAAAATATCAACTCCAAAGCTAATATACACAATTTACACATTTTGTTAAAGATATCGCAGTAGTTTCTTTGGACTTTGGTTTTCTGTGGCTTAATAAAACAGCATAACATATGAAAACAAAAAAAGGCAGTATGTTTTAAATGTACAAAAGAACTAAAAGTATGTTAAATGTATGTAATACGCATGTGTGCATAAAAGAGAAATCAGCCTTTGCCAAGGATCCTGAATCACTGTCCCTATTGCCATGTTACTATAACTGTCTATCTTGTGAAAAATGAAAAAGTTTTGGAACAGGTGTTGTGGCATTCCAAGGTAAGCTGCCATTTGAGAAGCCTACATCCCACAACAGAATGCTGGTTTGAGTCCCAGCTTCTCTGCTATGTTTCTGGGAAAGCAGAAAGATGATGGCCCCTGTACCGGGGTACCAACCAACCATGTAGGACACTTGCATGGAGTTTCAGGCTCCTGGCTTCACCCTGGTCCAGTCCTCAGCTGTTATAAGCATTTGGAAAGTGTACCATTGGATGATCTGTCTTACTTTTTCTCCTTCTCTCTCTCTCACAACCCCCCTTATCCCACTTCTC